CCCGGGGACCCCTGCTGGGGGCAGCTCCCCGCAGCCCAGGCCCCCCGGGGACCCCTGCTGGGGGCAGCTCCCCGCAGCCCAGGCCCCCGGGGACCCCTGCTGGGGGCAGCTCCCCGCAGCCCAGGCCCCGGCTCAGCGGCGCTGCTCCAGCCAACTGAGCGACCAGCCAGGGCCCTTCCTGACCGCGCTGTGATGCTATGAAGCGGTGTCCTACTTTTGTGACTTAATAAAAATTTGAAAGGGAATTTTAATCAGAAAATACATTACTTATTGAGTAAATTTATTAAGAATTGAGCACTGGCCCGCCGGGCGAGGCTCAGCGGTTGAGCATCGACCTAGGACCCAGGAGGTCGGGGTTCCATTCCTGGTCAGGGCACACTCGGGGTTGCGGGCTAGGCAGCCGATCAATGACTCATCATTGATGTTTCTCTCTCTGTCTCTCTCCTTTCGTCTCTCTGAAATCAATAAAGATGTATTTAAAAAAAAAAAATGGGGGAAAAAAAAGAATTGAGCACTGGCCAGTTTGGCTCAGTGGTTGCTGTTGGTCAGCCGACCAAAGGGTTATGGGTTCAATTCCTGGTCACGGCCACATGCCTTGGTTGCAGGCTTGATCCCCAGCCCTGATCATATGTCTCACGACACATTGATATTTCTCTCTCTCCCTGTTCCCCTCCTCCCTTCCTTTCACTCTCTCTAAAAATCGGTGGAAGAATATCCTTGGGTGAGAATTTAAAAAAAAGAATTGAGCCAACACCATTTTTTGTTTTTCTTTCTCTGTGTGTGTATATATAAGTAAGGGGTGGGGGGAGGGAACTTCCCTTGTTTGGAAGTTTTAAACATTCAGGTTTCAAGGGCTTGCAGTGGCCACACCTATTCTGGCCAGTTACCTGTTCCAGGTGTGACTGACCTGCAAGCACTTTCCCAAGTCACTAAGACCTTACTGGGCATGTGTCCACCTAGTCTTCCCTTTCCCCCTTTCCTGTTAAATAATTACCAGGTTATTATAACAGCATCATGACTACATAAAACTGTATGAACAAAAGTGAGATCTCTGGGTGCCGGGGATGAGGTGGGGTGGTGGAGGGAAGGTACTGACAACGAAAGGCCATGAGGGAACTTTTTCCATCGCCATTTACACCCCATGTGCCGCCTTCCACCGCCACCCTCCTCCCCTCCCCAGCAGTCACCACACTGGTGTCCGTGTCCATGACTTCTCTCTGTTTTTGTTTTTTGCTCAATCCCCCCTAACCACCACCATCCCACCTCCACCAGAGCTGTCTTCCTGCTCTCTATCTATGAGTCTGTCTCTATTTTGCTTGGTAGTTAAGTGTGTTAATTAGAGTCCACATATGAGTGAAATCATATGGTACTTGTCTCCGACTGGCTTATTTCACTTATGAGAGAACTTTTTGCAGTGGTGGAAGTGATCTAGGTCTTGATTTTGGTGGTGGTTACATGACTATATCTATTTGTCAAAATTCTTGAACTATACTCATAAAAAAGGGGTGACTTATCGGGTAAATTATACTTCAATAAACCCCATTTGAAAAAATAATAATGTTAGAGATGACACAGACAGTTAGACAGACATGAGCAGAGCAAGGACGATGGGCCAGGTATAGAAATTCACCAGGGCAGAAAGCCCAGGATGCCTAGCAAGGGGCAAAACTGGGAAAACAAGAACCTCACCCCCAGGGTAACCTAGCCTCCCCTAGCGTACCTCTAGTCATGCTGTATAGACCCTCTGACCTTTTCGTCCCTAAAGATAACATCTAGGTCTCAGTCATATTTCAGCTCCAGGCCCAGAAAAGCAGCAAAACCAGACAAGTGACACAGTGGCTGCCTCAGGACCAGCTACTTTTACTAATGACCCCTTGCCTTGGCACTGAACAATCAGTGGAGACCATGACCCTGAAGAGCACACCTGGAAAGCTGGTGAATATTCTACTGAGACCCTCCCCTGAGACCTTGCCTAAGATTTTCACCTACACGAGAGATAAACACACTCAGGATGAAGAACCCAGGGCACACTCTCCCCCTGAGGAGCATGCCCACACCATTCCCTTCCCTTCCCTCTTTCCTCTAAAGGACCCCACGAGACTTGCAACTAGGGAAGCAGTGGGCAGCAGCAGCTCCACCTGGGCTCACCCCCTGAACTTGTATCCAAGGCCCCCTTTTCTCTGACTTGGCCAAAGCAGCCCAGCCTAAACTCTCCTCTTCCATGCCCTTCCTTGTTTCACTGTCCTAAGTATATTTTTGCTGTGGCCAATAAATTCTCACTTACTTTGCTACACTTTGTCTCTTGATTGAAATCTTTCATTTAAGAATACAAAAACTGAGGTCTCATCCTATCCCCAGTAACAGAGATAGGGGAGAGAGAGATAGAGGAGAGAGAGAGAGAGAAACAAAACAAAATGCAATGTGAATTTTGACCAGTCTGGCTAAGAAAAGAGGAAAGTGCCCTAACTGGTTTTGCTCAGTGCTTAGAGCATTGGCCTGTGGACTAAAGGGTCCTGGGTTTGATTCCAGCCAAGGGCACATACCTCAGATCCCTGGCCCCGGTCAGGGAACGTGCAGGAAGTAACCAATCGATGTCTCTCTCTCTCACATGGATGTTTTTCTCCCTCTCTCTCCCTTCCACTCTCTCTGAAAAG